ATCAATATAATTTTATATAAAGAAAATTCAAACCCGATTTATTTGGGCTTAAGCTATGGAACGTATTAGAGTGAAGTTTTAGTTTAAATAATATTGCAGTCGGGCAGAATATTCATTCACAGCCAGATCGTATAAATCGTATAAACCTTCACAGTAAAATTAAGCATATACACAAATACATGATCCAAATTTCAAGTCTCTAGCTGCAATAGCAGCGAAATGATTTGCATTCATACGGCCAGGCGGACACACGGACGGACAGCAGCACGAACATTGCCCAAAGCGAATATACTCTATATATAATTGCCAGGGTATATGCTCTGCTTAAGCTCTTGCAATTGTTGCTGCACAAAAAAATGTATAGTACAATAAAATATCACAAATCCTGTTAAGGCTAGAAAAGGATATCAAAGCAGAATAATATTTTTACAGGGAACTATCTAGAGCTAGTTCTATGCTATGATAGCTCTTATATTCAACTAAATTTTATTGATTCTAAAAGTTGGATACATAAATCAAAAAGCCAACTCCAAATAGCTGGAAGTGTTTGCCCAACTGAAACTAAGTCAAATCTCGATTGATGTCTATGGCCGCCATGGCTCTCATCAAAATGTGGAGWCAAACATTGTTGGGATTTCATCAAATTCGCCCTTAAATGTAAATAACATTTCTATATACATACATATATACATTTTTTTCTCTATAGTTTACTAAATTTTTTTTTTTTATATTCTTTTTTATTCATTTTTAATGCCTTTCGCACAATGAAATGCATTTTGTTTGCACATTGCAAACAGGCGAGTGCGACTGAGTGTGACTGTGGGTGGGTGCGTGGGTGTGTGTGTGTGTGTGTGTGTCTGGTTGCAGTCGTGCGAGTGTTGCTTTTTTTTACTGTTTTGTATTGTGCAGCGCCACGTCAAAGAGTGTTAATCAACGAAATGGCATCATAAATAAAAATACAATTTCAGATAAATCCTATGATACTTCAATCAAACAGGAGCAGCACAACAATTAGATAGAGCGAGAAGGAGTGAGTGGAGTGAGCGAGCGAGGTAGATCGATACTCAATTTCATTTTATTTAAACAATAAATAAAATATTGTCAACATAATAAAATAAATTGCATTGTACAACAGCAGCAAAAGCAAAAAAAACAAAAAATTAAAAATTAAAAAAAAAATTAACAAATGTTGAGCCAACTGAAATAATAAACTGCGAAAATTCAAACGGACATGGAATGCCCTAGGCCAAACACTCTTCATAAGCAAAATTAAAGAACAACAAGCTGCAGTCAGGCGTTACCAACTGCAGAATACTCCTCCACGGTCATTACACGATGGCATTTTATTGAAAAAAAAAAAAAAGTGCTGATAGATTTCGATTTTCAAAATTGGAGTTAAACTTAAAAAAAATAAAAAATAAAAAATATAAAAAAAAAAAATAAATAAGAAATAGCTGAGAAGTGTTTTTTAGCTAGTTTCAGGCTAAAAATTCTATTCAGTCTGAGGCACATTTTGTAGCTGGATCTAATAGACCTGGACCTTATACATAGATTGGCTTTACAGCTTTGAATTTAAAACTAAATTTAATACTTGCAAAAAGCTTCAGCATTTATTAGAATTTAATGAATTAAAAGCTTCATCTAATACATGCTAAAAAGTTAAGCTTTTATTAGAATTTGTAGTTGGATTCATTAATTTCATTATTAGAGCCTATAAGGTAGATTCCATATAGCTAAATAAAAAGTAGGTCTATCTTTACAGTTCTTAGCTTGATTATATATACTTAGTTCTTTTCACAGCTTATGGCTAGTTGCAGTATATTAACATACATTTAACTTGTTAATTGTAGAAATGAATTCGCTCCATTTGCATCAATACAATTAAATCGAATTGAAGTAAGCTGGAGAGATATGTGCTGAAAAAGCCAACGGTAATTTCATGTGTGCATATCTATTTTGTGGCCTTTAATTAATACCCATCTCTCAGCATTTCAATTCGTAAATTCCTGGGACCTCATATTAGAAGTAGGCAAAAGTTCAACAGGGTCAAAACCTAGTCCATAGTATATGTATAACTGTTAAAAATCAGCTGAGCATACAAAATGGCGGATCGTGAGTACCAACATTGCAGCAAAAAATAAAAAAAAGTATCGAGTATATATAACCCAGATTCGCGTTCCTCTTGAATAAACCTCGTCCATGGCATACATATCTGAGAGCTATAGAGAACTGATTGTAATATTACACATATATACGTATATATAAGTATTACGTATAAGATTTATATTTCCCCTAGGCAAACGGCAACCACAATAACAACAACAACTACAACCGGTTTATCGAGAGCTCGCGCCTATCGAGCTGAACAAAAGAATCGAAACATAATCGTCGCATTGTTTTTGCTCGCGACTTTCATTTATTTTCACTGATTTTTTTTGTTGCCTTTGTCTTATATATAATCTCGACTTACATTATTTTTGTTACGATTTTTTTTTGTTTCTGTTTACAAAGAGAAAAAGTTTTAATAAAAATTAATTCAAGCGCACCGAGTTAAAACCGAAACAAACTTTGCACCATATTCAATATATAAATATCAATGTATGTATGTATATGTAGAGTACTATAYACGTATGCATATAGAGTATACGTATTGTAAATATGTACATGTATATATCCTTCACTGCTGCATGCGTACGTGTAGTTGCGTAGTCCTTTTAGCGGCGTAGTCCTGTATTTAGTGCAACTGTATCCCGACTTTATGACATTTGCTTGCTGTATTTGCATTTACACAGAGCACAATTCCACTTTTTATTAACAATTTCTTTGTGTCGTTTTAATTTTTGTTTTTGTTTTTTTATTTTTTTTTTATGTTTGTTCCGACATACACTATCAGAATTTGTATATCGAAATGCAAAGCCCCCTCGCCCTCGCCTCCTTTGTATTACTCGATAAATTTGCTTTATTGAGTAAATAAATAAAGTGACAGTCCGGCAAAGTCCAGGCCAGGCCGGACTCTGTGTCAGGTTCGGTTCGGTTCTGTTCTGAATCGCTATTTATTGGTTTATAGCATTTTTCGGCGCTACTATTGACACGGCTCAAACGGAGCGGCGCGGTAATGGGGGCATGCCAGCTGGCTATAGTCCCAGCTGCATTTGCATTTACTTTGTTTGCTCCTGTGCCAGCCCCCATCCTCACAGAGCTCTGGCTATATTTCCAGCAGCTGAGTCCATATTCGATTTTCAACTCAATTTTTGTATCTTCACAATTGCCAAATTGGGTTATGTTTGCATTTTAAAACACTTCAAGTTAATTTCAGCAAACATCAATAAATGTGCCTACCTGGTATGGCTATTAACTTCTGCTATAGAAACATAAAATGAGAATTGGCATTAACAATGTGTTCAGCTTCTGCATATGGACCAAAACTTATAAAATATTCCAATTACAACTCAAAGTGGATTTGRCCAGTTTTCAACAGCTCGCAACCACTGTACTCGAAAAAAAAATTACACTCACACGCGCAAAGAAAGCAAAACAAAAACTTTAATTATAACAGAAATTGAAGCGAAGCGTTTAATTTGCTATCTCTCTTTTGCTCGCTGTGTTTGCATTTGACTTTGTGATATTTGTTGCTAAGCTCTAGCTGCGACGCCGGCAGAGGCTAGAAACCGTTTGTCTGCCTGCAGCAACAGCAGCAGTAGCTTAAAGCTTTTAGCACAACTCAACTAGAGAGAGAGAGAGAGAGATGGAGAGAGTTAGAGAGGGAGAGGGCAGGGACAGACGAGCTCATAGTGCGATTAGTCGGCACACATACACTCTTCTTCTCCCTCTTCCTCTCCTTCTAACGTTTACTCTCATTTAGTAGAGCGTTTCTGCGTTTGTGTGTGTGGAGTAAACAGAGCCAGTTGCTGTTATTGGGCATTACGTTAATGAAAACTGTCCAGTGACTGTTAAGCTGCACCGCCCACTAAGGTAGGCAACATTTTTTTAAATATTTGTATTGCATACCCATTGAAATAATGGAAGTAAGGTATGCGCTGCAGTTTGTATCGTATATGCGCTTAACCTTTTCAGTATGTAAAAATATCGATAGCTATCCATCGTATTTTGGTGGTGTAGCTCGTTATAAGTATATTTCGATCAAAATGAATTTTTGATTGATTTTCTTTTGGCCACGTTGATGGCACTTAATTTGGTATGTAAATTCACCTAAACACATTTCAAAATTGCTTTTCTATATCCACTCATACAGCTAAAGGGTATCTTCTCAGTCGATCATTCCTTTTTCAAATATATTTTTTTAATTTTTATTATTTTTACTGCAATCTGAATGTTTGTTTGTTGTGCAATGCATGCTTTAGCCGCTAGATAACTGCACCTGCACCTGCACCCGCCCACATTTCCCACCATCCCAATCCACCTCATATATGTGTGTATACATGTATATGTATTTCTATACATATTTATATATACATATGTATATATTTTCTTTTTCGATGTATTTTCTTCAGTTCTGTTCGTTTCAAACTATCAAAATATTTGATATAACAAATGAAAAGAGTCAGCTTAAGCAGCCACAAATGTTAACTAATTGCTAAATGTTATCTCTTCTTCCTCACACACACACACACACATTCACAACAATCTAATGCAATGGGCAACCGCAAAACCCAATTCCAACTAATTGCTCCTGAAATATCCGTACACCCCAATTTCATATCCTTGGCCAAAAACCAAACAACTTGCAAAAACTTGCGCCAACGACCAACGACCAACGACCAACAACAACAACAAATAAACAAACAAACAACAACAATGAAAATGGCGTCAAATTGCGCTGACATCTGACGACAACACCAAAACGCCTGGCGCCTGCAACCGGCTTTTTCGGCTTGGCTCCGTCATTTGGCAACTGAAAACTGCAAACTGAAAACTGAAAACTGGGAACTGAAAACTGGGACTGGAAACTGGCAACTGGGCTCCTCCATTGTCAACGACATCGACACCAACAAACGACAACTTTTGTATCGTTGACCAAAAAAAAAAAAAAAAAAATTGCTAGTATAGACTGTGCGCCCAGCTGCTAAACTGTAGGTGAACAAAAATTTTGCCAAACTTAAATTAAAAAAAAAAAAAAAAAAAACACTTTGACTTCCCCGCCCCGCCCACTGTCCACACAACCGCCCTCGATCCATAACAAAACGCCAACTGGCTTCACCGCAAACGAAACTTTCAACTAAATTCTAATATATCCGCAAATCGATTTCAACAAACTATCGGGTAAAAATTGAAAAAATGGGGGAAACCCAACGGAAATTGGTGAATGCGGCATTGATGGCGCTGCCAATAACTGCTGCAACAACAACAACAACGACAACAACAACTCGTCTACGATGGAACGCTTCACGCTGACATTGCTTGGCATTGACTATATGATATAATGACAATGACAATGACAATGCTAATGACAATGATTGATCAACCACAATTGCAACAACAACGCCTTTGCGCTGCCCGTGGCTCAGGTCGCCTGGATTAAGGCCGACGCCAAGGCAATTCTGGCAATACACGAGCATGTGATCACGAACAATGATCGATTATCGGTGACTCACAACGACTACAACACCTGGACACTGAACATACGGGGCGTTAAGATGGAGGATGCTGGCAAGTATATGTGCCAGGTCAACACAGATCCCATGAAAATGCAAGTGAGTATGTCGCAGATATGCAATAAGCTATCGATTGCTGCTATCGATCAACTCGATAGCTACAAATATAATGTGTGTGTGCATAAGAATTGCGATGCAACTATGAAATAAAGCAGATGTTGTTGCTGATTGATTAGATATACAGGAAATGCACAACATCATGCAGTTGCTGTTATCGATAACCAATCTGATATTAAGTTGGTAAACTTTTCATTAAAATAGACTCGGGTAATATAAAAATTGATGAGCAGAAAATGAGCAACAAATGACTCTTGCATGTCTCGCTGCTTTCTTATCGATTATTATCGATAGCAGTTTGTGTGATATACTAGTATATAGAAGGTATTTTTACTGATTATGAGTTAGAGTTCTAGTTACAGTTAGAAAATCACACAATTTATGAACTCGTAACATTTTCAATTGAAGAATTGGCCAACCTATTTTGCATTCTGAATTGTTGATCCGAGCTGCCAACTCAGCGAAAAGAGAGAGAGAGAGAGACAGAGAAAACAGAGCAAGATAAACAAAAACAAAAGAATTGCAGCTAAATAAATGTGTTTGATGCTTGTGCAATTGGCCGAATGCACACGATTGCAATTCACCATTTAGCCATGGTCAAACAGCTTTGATACACTGCACAAAATTAGTGGAAGTTTCTGTTTATTTTCTGAAATATTCCAGCTACAGCTAGTCGAAATAGAGCATAGCGAACAAATTCAATAACAGAGAGAGTTAATCTAATAAATTATCCTATATTCAATAAAAAATATATAGAAAAAATATAGCTAATCTGGGCTTGCTCGACTGATAGATACCCTGTGCTGATCGCATTGAATAAGTTATAGAACTGTAAACTAATACATAGGTAGCATAAGGCAAGTACCAAATACGTGTCAAGCTCATGCATTTATAGAGCTCGTCATCTCATTATTGTCCGACTATAACATACTACGTAATTTTTTAACAAATACATTAGAGCATTTCGATTGAAGCCCAAAATTGAATGAAATCGGAATGAAATGAGATTACTTTAGTGCTGCACATGTGCTAGTGTGTGTGTGTGTATGTGTGTGTTTGGGCAAGCGGTTAGCAAGGACACTTGCCGGCATTTAAATGCAATATACAAACAATGAAATGCTTTAAAGATAAAAATAAATAACAAACAATGAGGCTGCATTTGCTATGTGTGTGCCCATATGTGTATGTGTGTGTGTGTGTGTGCGCGCTGACAGCCCTTGCAGCATTCGTCCATTAAATGCGACGCGACGTGTGCAAAACGCTTGCGTTTTCAATTTCATTCCGTTCCGTTTCATACCGTTGCGTAGCGGGGCGCTGCGCCGCCCCCTACCAGCAGTGGCAGCGGCAGAAGCAGCGACAGCGACAGCGCAATAAAATCAAGCGAATTGAGTGAAATGCAAATATGAGACAAATAAAAAGCAAACAGGCTGCACGCAGGCAGCCAAAAAGCTCGACACAGACAACTCGACTGCCTTTTAAGCCTTTAACGCAATTTTCTTTTTTCGTTTTCGTTTATTTTGTTTCCATTTTTACATTCTCCCATTGCGGCCTTTGGGGACGTTGACTTTATTTTTTATGACATAACTGTCAGCAGCAGCAACAACATTAAAGTAATTTACTGTAAAAGCTGGCAGAATTGCATAAAGATTGCAATTAAATATCTATTAAAAAATGCATAAAAATATTTATCGAAGCAGAGACGTTATTGCTGCTTATTCTGTTATATTTGAGGAATTCGTCAGATTCGCTCTCTCCTAACAATATAGGGAAATGATTCTGAGCTACTCATGCACACACAACAATCATAGCTTCGTCGCTCGATCAATGCAGATGTGAGAGCGAGAAGATTATATAGTGCAGCAGATTCCGCAACATGACATCTTCTCATAGACGAAAATGGAAGAGACTGTAGCTGTTATAATAACTATCATACTGAATTCGATTGGTTTCTATTTTGTGCTACAATTTTTGTTCTATTTGATTTGAGCGGCCATTATGGCCAAAGCGAAGGCGTTGCATAGGCATAAGATGGAAAGTGGAACAGAGCTGCACAAACAGCAACGAAAATAAAAATAATGAAATTATGTGGCAAGACCTTAGCAGTATGAGACGAATAAATTCCACACAATAATTATAAACACAACTGTTCGAAAAAGTATTTACTGCACTTCATAAGCCATTCTTGATTGGTGCACAAATCTGTGCTACTTTATTTTGCCATTTCGGCTTCACATATGTTAATGAGTGAGTGAAAGGGATGGCATGACTATTATTATGGCTGCAGAGAAATGGCGGCTGCATCAGTATGGCGATTGTCATGTGAAGATGGCGTCTAAGTTAAGACAAACAAATTGAGATTTGCTAAAATTAATAAAGAGGTTTAAATAAAAAAAAAAAAAAAAATTCATTTTTATTTACGTAATTCTGTTTTGAATTTTAATCTCTTTTAGACAGCCACCCTGGAGGTGGTCATACCACCGGATATAATAAACGAGGAGACCTCCGGCGACATGATGGTACCGGAAGGTGGCTCTGCGAAGCTCGTGTGTCGCGCACGCGGCCATCCCAAGCCGAAGATCACCTGGCGGCGCGAAGATGGACGCGAGATAATCGCACGCAATGGCGTCCATCAGAAGACCAAAGGTGAGCGTGTAACATTTTGCTAAGCTAAACTTTGTGACCGACCACATATCAGACTTGGCATAATGTTAACCTATTTTTTTTTTTTTTTTCGCCGCATTTAGCCATACTGGTGGAGGGCGAAATGCTGACGCTGTCGAAAGTCACGCGATCGGAAATGGGCGCCTATATGTGCATCGCCTCCAACGGAGTGCCACCAACTGTGAGCAAGCGCATGAAGCTACAGGTGCACTGTGAGTATATACATGCATTCTATATTTAAGTTTAAATACCCTGTAAAGCATGCAAGGCTACCATGAGAGAATTAGTGTCTAGAAATATGCATCGATGCTTGTATATGAATATCTATCAGTTAGCTTAGAGTAGATCTGAATATACATACGAAAAAGGACATTTAAAAATAAAATATAACCATCTACAGGGCGTTTGCTAGTCGTGCACACGCCTCGCCAATAAATGCTTTGATTTATGACCCTACGCCCGGTACTCGAATAATAATCATAACGTCTCACACCTAGGCGGATGTGCGTGCTGTGTAAGCGCACACTCGCTCACATCCAGCGACACTCGGCTGCACTCCACTACGACTGCACTTCGCTACAGTACACCCTATTAAGCACCGCGCTACACTGTGCTGCACGGCACGGCACGACTCGGGGCTACACGGCAGCGTAAACGCAATAACGCGAACTGCAAGTGTTTCCGTTTCGATTTCCGCCTTCCGCCTACTCGAGGCAAACTTTGCAAATGCATTAGGACAGCGGCTAGCTGCGTGTCCTGCGGCGAATGGGAGGCGAAGCGGGCAGCCGATTAGGGTTGGGCAAAGGCAGGCCGCAGCGAGTTCTAGTCTAGACGTCACGTTTCTGTTGTAAAAGTTGAGCAGCTTTTGGCTTCCACTGCCTGCCTGCCTGGATGGTTGGCTGGATGGTTGGCTGGCTGGCAAGCAGCCTTTAGTATCATGTGATGTGGTAATTGTGAATGGGGGCGGGAGTCAGGCAGCAGCTGACACGCCCACAAAGCAAACCGTAGCCCCCTCTGGAGTTCGATGTGCCAGCGGCTGCTGCAGCGCATTAAACTTAATGAAATTTTTTTGCAAAGGTACAACAAAAACGTTGGGAGCCGCCGGATGCCGGAGGGAGAGTTTCGTTAAATTGAAAATATGTGCAAGGCTATATGTATATATGTGTGAGTGTGTGCGTGTGCGCGTGTGTGTTTATATTGTAGGTAAAAGATTCTATCTGCAATTTATATTGACACGACCAATATGTTCGCACCTCAAGAGGTGAAGGAGCAGTCTCCTCTGTTTATCTCAAGAGAAACCAACCCCCCCACCCCCTCATCCCATCCCACCCAGTCGGTGTCAACACGCCTCTGCTTAAAATGCCGCAAAAATTAATTTCCATTTTTTCCGCTTTTCTCTTTTCTGCTTCTGCTTCTTCTTCCTCTCCTTCTTCTGCCTCTTCTTATCTTGTACTTCAATTTTTGTGACTCTCGCATTTCATTTCATTTTCATCTCTGCTTCGGTTTGTCTATCAGTCATTCGTCTACCTCCACCATCCACGGCCACGTCTGTTGTTCCCTTTTCCCCTTTATTGCTCTTTGGCTTTGCGACTGCGTCTCAATTTCAATTTAAAAACCCCATATGGGCGTAACTCTGCCTGTTACCCTCTCCCACGCCCTCCTGTCTCCGGACTCCTGCTTCCTGCTTCCTGTCGCCTCCTCCTGCTGCTGTCTTTTCTGATTTCTTCTGGCCTCTGCTCGTTGCTTTTTGCACTGCTCTTCGCTTTCATCTTCGTCTTCGTCTGCATCTTCAGCCGGTTGCTGCTTGTTTGTCTTAACCTGACAGCAACGACGCCAAACGCCCAATGCCTGCTCCACCTCCGCGCTGGGGCCACGCCCCCATGGGCACATTTACCGCTTGATTTCTTAAGTTGGTTCAGCGCTTTGCTTGATTGATTTTAATCAGAAAATTAAGTGGATCCTTGGCTTTTAAATTTCCACCAGACAAACAAGACAGGCAGACAGGCTGTCAGCGAATGGGAAACGCAAGAGCGAGACAGCGACTCTGAGAGGGAGATGAATAGTAGTAAAAGGGAAGAGATTATGTGTGTTTACGTGTGTGATGCTCTGCTTGAGTGCCTGCCATGTATTCCTTAAAGCCATTCGACTCGACAGGCTCCAATTACTCAGAGACTTAATCAGAAGCAGAGGAACTCATGCTAAGAAATTTGGTATTTTTCTTGGTATTAATTATTCCGTATTTAGTAGGCAGTAGGTGATTATCATTATCATCAGGACTGTCATTATAGTCATCATAATTATAATCTTTTACTATTTCTATTCTCAGTCTGATTATCATTATCAACTCCATTATGATTATCAATTTGATATTGATTATCATTGTGATTATCATAATAAATTTATATAGAATTGCATTAAGATTTGGCATTCATGAGACATATTTTTGCTTTTGACGCATTTTCTTCGATTTACGCTTGTCAGCCACTGGCCGTTAGATCAAATAGATCACAATGATCAAATAGATAGAACAGCTGTGCTATTCAACGCAGCTCGGACGACGTCTCTGAATGGAAAGCGAGACGGTGACGCATTTGTTTTTGCCATTTAGTTGGACGGACGGACAGCTGGAAATTGAAGAGGCTGAGCACACAGTTGAGCTGACGTAGAAACAGAGTCAATAGAAGTGCTATAAAAGGTCCAAGCAGAGCTGCACTAACTCAAAGTCAGTTTCCAACTGTGAGAGAGAAGACATCATGCGCACCTACATACTTGTAACACTGTTCGCTCTGGTGGCCGTTGCCGTAGCACACCACGGTGGTCGTGGTGGTCCAGGTGGACCAGGCGGTCCAGACGGTGGCCGAGGAGCTCCTGGTAGCCAATCTGGCTTCGGTGGTCCAGGCGGTGGTCGAGGAGGTCCAGGTGGGCCAGGTGGTCAAGGCGGTGGTCGTGGCGGTCCCGGTAGCCAAGGTGGTTTCGGTGGTCCAGGCGGCCGTGGCGGTTATTTTGGACCTGGTGGTCGTGGTCCAGGCGGTCATGGTCCAGATTGTGGACATGGCGGACACGGTAAGCGCTCCACCACCACTGAGCCCAGCACCACTGAAAGCAGCACCACTGAAGCTAGCACCACTGAAAGCAGCACCACTGAAGCTAGCACCACTGACTCTATCACGAGTGTGGGCAGCACCACCAATGCCCCCAGCACTGACAGCAACAGCGGCTAGGCTCATGCTGCCACAGCAGCTGACTCCTCTTCTTATACAATGTGCTTTGAATAAAAACATAAATTGATTATGTTCAAATATGTTCTTATTCCCTTTTTTTGTTGTCTTCTTTGGTGCCTACGTTCATATCTCGATCATTCTTTCTGCACTCTTCACCTCACTTTCTCTGTTTTCACTCTCTCTACGGCCTTTTCTAATTTCTATGCTTATCTCTGCTTCTCTGCTTCTAGGCTTTCTCTTGATATTCGCTTCTGCTTTTTAGTCTCATTCTTTTATCTTTCACTGTTCGTTTTACTCTCCCTCTCCACCTCTACTTAGTTATATTTTACTTTCTCACCTGTTTTTGTTGTTTTTGTAATTTTTTTGTAATTCCTCGTTCATCTCTATCTTATCTCTCTCTATGTCTCTCTTTATCTTTCTCCCACCATCTCTCTTTTTCTCTCGCACTTACTCTCTGTTTCATTTTCTCTCTGTCTCTATGTCTTTCTCTCTCTCCGTCTCCCTCTACCTCTCTATTTATATATGTCTCCCTCTATTTCTCTGTATCTCGAACCTTCTCTTCACTCTCTGTCTGTCATTCGTTTTCTCTCTCTTATTCACTCTTAGTCTCTTTCACAGTCCATTCCTGTTTATCTCTATGTTTTCCTTTCCCCTTCTGTATCCCTCTCTCTCTCACTCGCTATCTATCTTTCCTGTTCTCATTCATTCAATCTGACTATCTTACTATGTTTATTTACCATACTCATCTTGCTTTCTTTCATCTCCCAATCTGTGTCTGTCTTTGAAAGAACGAATTTGGACTTCTACTCTTTCACTTTCTTCATGGTCTGCCCCAAGCCGCGTATAATCAATTTATAACAGAGGAAAGTCAACAAGAAATTACGCATACGCCGCGTGTAAGCCTTTGTAATTTCAGCTGCTGTTGTTATTGCTGTTGTTGTTGTTGTTGATGGGGTTGATGTTGCTGCCTCTGTCGAAGCAGCTGTAAAACTCTATTAGAACAAATTACATTTTCAATAAGTTGATGGGCAATGCGAAAACAGCAACAACAACAACAACAACAAGGAAAGCCGAGCCACAAAAATGGCGCAGGGATTACAACACGAGTCAAGACAAACAACACATGACATATGCTACATGACAGATACACGCACACACACTCATGCACACACACACTCATACACACTCATACACACACATACACACTTGAAGCATGCACAAATCCAATAAATTGACCAATAATGAACGGTTGAACGCAAGCAATGCAACGGCGCAGCTAACGAAGTGAAGGCTGCCGAGGAGAGTGGGGCGCGGGGGCAGGCTGGGGGCATTTGGGCATGCCATGGCGGACAGCTGGCCGAAATAAGAGCAAGAAAAATGAAAAAACCAAAGTTGAAAAGCCAAAAACAATGATGGTCAGCGGCAAAGCCCAAGACAATGCCAAAAACAACAAAACAAATGGGAAAAAAAACGGAAAAAAAGCAAAAAACAAAATATAAAAAAGGAGCAAGAAAAATTGCAGAGCAAAAACCACAAACTGACACGACCCGAGAAGAGAAGACAGTAGGAGAAAAGAGTGGGGAGAGCAGAGCAAAGGCAAAAGTTTACAGAGTACGAAAATACCCTATAAAAAATTAAGCAAAATGCAGAATGCTAACGTGAATTCGATTGAGTATTTGGGAAAATATTTGGCATTAGGCCAGAGGACGCTTAACAGCATGTTAGCTTACAGTTAACATGAGCTTAACATTACCTCTGAGTAAGCTACAGCTAAAATTTGTAGAGCTAAATATTAGCAGCATGTTAACTAAGGGCGATTTATGTGGGGAAACAAACAAAAAATAGCAGAAATGAGTTAACATATGCTCAAATTAAGCGAAGCTTATGTAAACTAACAGCTGTTAACAGTATGTGAACTATATGCATTTAATAGAACTTTACATTATGTTAGCAAAAAGTGACTCATCGTTCATTAACAGTGTCTAAAAATGACAGAACTGACTTAACATAAGCTTAACATAAGCTAGATTTAAGCTGACTCCAAATATAAGCTAAATATATCTAAATATAAGCTATGTTAGCAATAATTCGTAAGCAGTGTATATAATGTTAACAGCATGTTAAAGCAAATGGAGTTTAGCTGAATATGTGACTCGCATGGGAGGGCGCTCTGAACAGCACTCAAAGGCAGTGCCTCTCTGACTCTCAGCAACAGCTAGACCAGCTTATATGCTCGATTGCATCGACTAGCAAAGAGCAAGCGGCACAAAGGGTTGCACAAAGGAACAAAAAATTGTTGGCTTCATGTTTGGGGCTAACAGCAAAATAATTCATTTTCAATTAAAAACGTATCAGCTGACGTTGCTGCCATTAACAAATAACGGCATTTCGAATGCGAGTCACAGCATCCAATGCTCACGCTCGGAACCAGTTCGCCAGTTAATTGGCCGCTCGAGGGGCTGGCAACTAGTTGCTTAGCTGATGGAGTCCATTGGCAGCCATGATGATTATGTTGACCAACTTGTTTCAGCCAACCCATTCACACACACTCACTGCTCTCTTTCGCTCACACACTCTCTCTTTCTCTTTCTCTCTCTTTCACTTTGCAGTTCATCCGCTGGTTCAAGTGCCAAACCAATTGGTTGGCGCCCCGGTTCTAACGGATGTCACATTAATTTGCAACGTGGAGGCATCACCGAAGGCCATCAATTACTGGCAGCGCGAGAACGGTAAGTCCTTTGGCTCTGCTGTCGTTTTATTCCTTTATTTTCCTACTCTTCGTTTTTTTTTTTTTTTTTTTTTCATTTTGTTTTGTTTTTTCTTTTCGAAATAACGCGCTACGCATTGCATACCCTGTGAGCGAGCAATTCGACGAGGGCAATGCCTGACACCTAGCATCACCTATCGAAGCCGAAGAGAATCAAATTTTGCGATAGGCTTAATTTGCAGCTTTACGATATAATAATAATAATATCGATAATTAACTGTAATTCACTGATCATGCAAGCATTGCCATTGTGGGTACATTAGAAACAGTTGTCAATTGATCGGACTTAGCACCCAGCTATCGATCAATTAAGTTAAGTAGATCCATTTTTAAAATTTAGAAAAAAATGTATCGAAATGTGCAACATATCGATGAAAATTATGTATCGATAATTATCAATAATTATTCGATAATATCCATAGATTTTTTAACTATGAAATTGTAACTATATATAATCAATTTACTTAGATTCAATTCGATAGCACCTGCTATCGAACAATCTAATGATATATTGATAATTTGATGGATATATTTTATGCCTGAGGCCACACAGCTAAATACAAGGTATTTCTAGATTGTACACCCAGTTCATTGATTTTTTTTCCACTAGTGCCAGTTTTTTCTATTTTTTGCGCGTTTTCCATTTGGTGCTTGGATTTGACTGAGGGCAGACAGAGAAAGCCAGAAAAAGATAGAGATAGAGACAGGCAGAGGGAGAGGGAGAGAGAGAATGTAGCAGTATAGGAAGAAGCCAGCCTTATAAACCCTTCAATGCCGCAATTTGTCTTTATTTGGTTCGTGTTCGATGCTCAAATATTTTCTTGTTGGCTCACAAAGTTCTGGAGCCTGAAACCCTTAGCCGGTTCGCCTGTTTTCCCTCTATGTTTTATTTTTGTTTTTCTTTGTATTCCGCCTTTTTGTTTGTTGTTTTTCTGTGTGGCTCTTGTCAAGTGCATTTGACGTATATTGCAAACGTGACAGCATGGCACGAGCTGTCGTCGCTGGCAGCACAAATGTCATCATCAAAGTGAACTTTTCGCTGCTGCTGCTGCTGCTTCCTCGCATTTCGCATGAGGCGATTCCCAGTTTGATGTTCGATTCTCGTTGCAGGCGAAATGATTATAGCCGGCGATCGGTATGCCCTCACCGAGAAGGAGAACAACATGTACGCCATCGAGATGATTCTTCACATTCGACGGTTGCAGTCGACCGACTTTGGCGGCTACAAGTGCATCTCGAAGAACAGCATTGGCGACACCGAAGGCACCATACGACTATACGGTAAGCTATCGAGATGTTGAACACCTACATATGCAAGAGAACTAGTTCTCTATTAAAGTAGGCCTCATGTTCAGGTAGTTCTCTGTTCACTATGAAGCTGACTCTTTTAGATTGAGGAACTATTAGTTTATGGAATAAGCTGAGTATTTCGAACTAGTTCTTTTTGTCTACTAGCTCTTTCGCTATTTACTTAGATTGCATTCAATCAATTTCTTAGACAAGTTTTAGTTTGTTTCAGATATAGTTCAAAAATATTTAACTCTTTAGCTATCAACTTAAACTAGTTAATTTTTGAGCTGACCAACAGAATCATATTTAGATCACCTTTAAATGGAACCAGTAACCTTTTTGGGGGGTCCTGCTGAGCTACAAAGAAAAAGATAGCTTTTCAAAATTGCCAATGTAAAAAAAAAAATAATAATAAAATAAAAACAAATAAAAAAAATAATTTGGATACTATTTCGGCGGTTCACTTGAACAAGTTTATTCGTTTTGATTACATTTTTTCGGCGATTTTTCTTAACTCAAGAAGAACAATTTTCCAAATTTCGAATGTAAAAAAAAAAATTAAATTTAAATATGGATACTATTTGGGTTCACTTAAACAAATTCATTGATTTTTATTGCATTTTTTCGGAGTTTTTTTCTTAACTCAAAAAGAAAGCTTTTCCAAATTTCTAATAAAATAACAATTTAAAAAATATGGATACTATTTCGGTTCACTTGAACAAGTTCATTCATTTTGATTACATTTTTCGGCGTTTTTTCCTTCACGCAGAAATGGAACGTCCTGGCAAAAAGGCGCAGCGCGAAGAGGATCTCAACGAAGTGACGGTAAGTGAAGCAAACAATGCACACTCACACCCATAAACACAGACACACACGCGCACACACACATACACACACACACACACTTGTAAGCAAACATATGATATTGATATGAAATCAAACAAAACGCTTTTGTTCCACGTCTCAAATGCCGCAGAAGAACGAGGTGGTGCTCAAGGAGAACCGCCACGAGGATGGCTCGCGCAATCAGAACGGTCGCCTCTACAAGGACCGCAGCCAGGACGCCGACATGGGCAGCGGGGGTGCGGCCAAGGCGCGCCAGCTAATAAAGCCATTTCTATTGGCACTATTTGTATTATTAACAGCCAATGTGTGCTGCTGCTGCTGCTGCTGCTCTCTGGCAAATGGCAGTGGGCCAGGGCCAAGGGGGCAGGGCAATGGCTCGACTCGAGTCGCAGCGCCAACAGTGACAACAACAAGGACAATGGCTGCAGCGAACGGCGTCGGCGACGGCAGCTGCAAAGCTCGTTTCATATTATAGCTTAATTAAATTGTAATTATAAGAATGCGCTGGCAACAACAAAAGACGACAACACACACGCATGGCCAAAATTGGATATGCCACGCCCCCTACACACACACACACACAGACAAACATGAACAAAAGTTTGAAGAGTTTCATCTTTTTTTTTTTTTTTTTTTTTTTTTGGGGCTCAAGGTTTTTGGTCATATTTCAATATAAAAGCCAGGAAAAAAAAATAAAATAAATAATGAATGAAATTGATGTAAACGTAAGTAGTTAAGATTAAATGGAAATTGAAAAACAACGCGTTTAAATGTTACCTCGTTACAGAAAATAAAACCAAAAGATAACTAAAACTAAATATTTAAGATAAGCGGAAAGACGAAAGCAGCAAGAAAAATGTCAAAGTTCATATGTTACTCTCTCTATTTTCCTTTGGTTCCACAGGCTTTAGCTACTTCAAGTATTACAAAGGAAAAGAAAAGTTCGGCTCGCCGAGCTTAAAGACTTTTGCAGCGGAACTAGATATCATATGATCTTGGAACTGCAAGTCAATCGATAGAGTTGTCTGTTATATATGATATATATTGTCTCTATATTGTCTTGTTTCGGAACAAGAATTTCAATAAAATTCTGTAGCTTTTCGATATGTGGGTAGCCCTAGTTAGCTATATGCTATTTAGGCTGCCCTGCTCCTCGATTCGTTTTCTCTGAGTATCTTCACACTGGTGGGCCTTACTCAGAGCGATTCAAAGGGAACCATACCGAACAGCTCGTCTCTCTGAAGTGATTTTACTATATCCTCTCAGATATCAATAGGCTCTGCAAGAGTTTAACAAAAAACTAAAGACCCAATCACATGCATACTATAAATAATCTTGAATATAATAGAAACCCAGCTGGATAATCCAACATCTAACATAGCTTAGCCCCATAAAGCCCCATATACATATATTTGTCTACAAGTCACATTTATGTTATTTTTGTTGTTCGACTTCATAATGGGTGGGTTAGGGGTCTCTGTATATACAACTAGTTATACTATATATACGGTTCAGCTCAAATCATATTTATGATAAATATTTATATACAACTTATGAAATACGATATATTGTAAATATTCGCACCTGTAGTGTTCTTAACCTCTTGTTAACGCATTGCTCGCATTTGTTCATGAAATGCAATTGGTTTCATTTAGATTAGCTAAAATTCGGCATTGTTCATTTTACAGTTAGACTGGCAAGTTAGCGAACTGGTTCACCTGATGAACTACTACGAAAAGCAAACTTAATATATACATATTATTTAATTTTTTTTTTATAATAAACATAAAATATCTTTATTTTACAAAACTAGTTCAATTGAACCAAATAATGTAAAATTAATGGATCCAACCTATACAAGTACACATGATAGCTTAATTCAAATGAACGAATTCAAATGAACCGGTTCTTCGAAAAGCCAATCAAAGAGTATATTACACGAACCACTATACAGAAAATTTACAGCTGAGCTGGTTTAACTGAACTAGTATGAGAATTATATAAGTTCAAGATTTTTAATTTGAACTAATGATATTGATTTGGAACCAGTGCAATCAAGACATGAGCAAATGCCAAGAAACTCCCAGCTTTATTTCGTTAGGTAATCAATCCAAATCCAATTCCTTCGCTCTCTCCCTAAAGAACATGCACACATACACCTATGTGCATATGTGTGTGCGTGCATGTGTAACTATATAATGCGTGTTTCAGCTTAACTCCCTGTTTGATATTGTGTAAAAATATTTGCAGTAAAACGTAAAGAAAATGTGCCAAAAATGCATCTGAGAAAAAGGAAACAAAAACAAACGCAAAAAAAAAAAAGAAAAACATATATATGTATATCAATGGATAATGTATGTATGTGTGTTCGATATTCAATATACCTACATTAAAATATATATATATGTATATGCATGATACATATTATGTGTATATATGTGGATAGCAAAATACTCGAATTACATAATGCAAACTCTTGTGACACGATTCGGCAATATGCTAGGGTATACGCAGCCCCAATATAGTAATCTAACGGTTAAATCAGCCTGACTCTGACTTAATATACGTACCACAAATGTATTAGCGAAATGGAAGAGAGAGAGAGAGAGAGTGAGGGTTAAAAAGAGAGAAACACAGCGAGGCAGGGAGAGAGTTCAAGAAATACATTTTACAAATACTAAGGCAAAAGTTTATACACTAAATATATATACAATACAG